CCCCACCGGCGGCGGCACAACCCCCTCGGCAGCGCGAGATGAACAAACGGCCCTCGCCCTCCTTCGACCGGGTGCGTGGCTATGACCGAGAAAGGTTCGCCGATGACTACCGTTCTTCTCCCGCCGGCGCCTCCTCCTCCTCATCCTATCGCGGATCGGACTATACTCGTTCCAGACGAGGTTTGAAGACTAGTTTTTTTAAATCTTGCTCCTCTACTCTGTGCGCCTTCTTTGTTTGTGCTTACTTCCTCTTTGAGTGTGAAGTGTGTTAATATAAACGCTCGTCAACGAGTGTGTCAATATCTCCTGATCTAAACCGGCAAGACAGCGATCTCGTGGCTAAATAGTTAGGGCATTATATACTGATCAAAAGGTCGTGAGTTCAAGACTTGGATGGTGCACCACTTGGTGTTGTGGGCATGACTGGCTGACGACGGCTAATAAGCCAGAACTAGCCATTCAAGTCTTTGCGGGCAATACTATCTACCTAAGACTATTAGCCGCTGTGCGGCTGCTGTAAGGGCCTAAGAAATGAGGCCCAAGGCAGGGCGAGGCAAGTGAGTTAAGTTAGTGTTCGGCGAACGTTCACCGACGAGTGTCTTTGTGCTAGTTTCTGGTGACTGGTGTGTGAACCCGGTTTGTTTGGCTGCAAATCCATATGCCACGGACTCAAGCTCCAGTAGGCTGCACTGTGAAACACTTAGTCACACGAAAGCCTTCCTACTCGCAGTAAATCGTCTATCTCATGAAATGTCAGCCGAAATTCCGGAAATGTGCTTTCTATTCGAACATATTCATTAAGTGTGGTTGAAATATTGATTAGCATGCGACTTAATCTCAGCATATTTCAGTCATCTCAAGATTCCAGCCTTTGAACACGGATCCTTTTCACCAGCAGCGAGAAGTACATCCTGTAAAAATGGATATTTAAGTAGTATACCGTTTTCTCCGTAATTTCCACTACCCTACTAAATAATTTTATTAAAAAATGCACTAAAAATTCTTTCTTGTACTCGTTTGGTAGCAAACTATGTCTTCTTCGCCTTTCATACTCCAAAGAAGAGTATATTTCGGTTTTAAAATAAGTTTCTAAATTACCGAATAATTTTAAATCCTATCACTCGAATTCAAGGTCTCCAAAAGATATACTGTATGAATGCTGTCTTAGGATCGGTTACTATTTCCCTATAGTTTGAGGAATAAGTCATATAGTCCTTGTAAAATTTGGCTATAGCTGTGGACCAACTTGTCTAATTTATAAGCAGCATTAATAAATGGATTTATAAATGTCCATTTCGTGGTCGCAATAGCTCTCATAATTATTTAAAACGTTTAAATCCAAAAATACCCTTCCTTCATGTATAAAATTTGAAGAAGGCTAATTTGCTATCAAGCGAGTACTAGAAAGATTTTTTTCTATCACATTTATTTAAATTTATTAGGACAATGAGAAAAATGCCTACTACTTTAGTGTTCAAAGACCAGCATTCTGGGGTGACTGAAATATATTTTGATTATGTAGCATGCTAATCGATCTTACAATCATAGTTGATTAATCTGTTCGAATCGAAAGCACATTTCAGAATTTCGGCCGGCATTTCATGAGATAGACAATTTACTGTACACTTTAGTTTACGCATACTGACCTGGTGGTGTTTCCTAGCCAGCTGATTTCCTTTCTCTTCCCATGACATAATCTTCGAGTAAAACACGTCGGAAGCCTACCTACACTAGACCAAAAGAGACATATACAATGCATGCTTCAGGTTTTACTGTTCCCTTTTGCAGTCTGCCTTGCCTGCCTGCAGTCGGAGTCGCAAACATCCGCAAATAAACACAACATTTGGGGGGGGGCATGAAAAAGCCGGAAACGATTGCCACCTCGCTGTTTCTACCTGGGATGTGTCTTTCATTTTTTTTGCTGCTAAAGCTGCAGTTTCCCTGGGCAACAAACGAGCCTAGCAAAATCCCCTTCTTGTCTCTATTATTTTTACCTCCCCCCGCTCCTTCTGCTCGATCCAGTTGATGTCGTTTTTTCCCTCCTCCTATCTCGCCGTAACTGACCAATCAATTGCGCAGTTCTTCAGCACAGGAAACACTGGTTTTCGATAGAGAGTCTCCTCAGCCGTCTACGCTAATAACACAAATCAATACTTAAGTCGCTGACACTTTTCCATGGGTTTTTGATCCTTATTGATGGCAAGTCGCTATGTAACCACCTCTGTGTGGATCGAAAATTTGCGTCTCTAAGGTAAAATGGGCATGCCTGCACTCAGGATTGATATTCTCAATCACAGCCAATAGGACGGGAGTCAAGCGGCTTTTCGATATAGGAGCCATTGATTTTCGATGGAGTCGCCTACACAAATAAAACCAATCACTACTCAAGTCGCTGATTGTTTTCCATCTGTTTTTGATCCTTATTATCGGCAAGTTGCTATGTGAAGACCTGTGTGAATTTGGGACTCCAAGGTAAAGCGGATATGCCTGCAATCAGGATTATTCATGTGCTTCTGGAGATTCTCAATCTCTCCCGATAGGACATGAGTCTGGTGGCTCAAATTGCAAGGGCTTGAAACTGCTTCATGGTCAGGATGTAAACCTCATGA